AAAGAACTGTCAAAAATTTAGCGGAGCCCTCTGAAAGGGACACTTTTCCCGGGCTGATCGGGAAAAAACCAAATCGCGGCCACCCGAATATGCAAATATTGGGATTCGACGCGAATGGGAATTTTTTTTAAATTCAAAAAGGAATTCCATTTCCCGCCGGTTCGATTCCCCCTCATCTCTAATTACAAGCATGAGTTTCCCAGATAACCAGCAAAAAGGACTTGGTATTACTACAGGCATTACAGTAAAAACTAAAAAGAGAAAAGTACTAACCAACCACAGTCTGTGTCACCTGCATGCAATTTAATTGCTTCTATTTATTCAGCTTTTAATAACCTCAATAAAGCTGTTGATTGACTATGATATATGACGATATGATAATTATTTTCCAAATATCAATAATTATTTTTATCTGTTTTAAATGTATTTATACCTCGTCAGGCCCTTTTCCAGAGTACACACTGAATGATAATATGCACTGCTTTCCTTATGCCAAATGCCATAGTCAATGATGATTTCTGTACAAAGAAAAATATGCACAAATTTGGTTATATTAGGGAATATGAAAAATGAAAGAAAACCTGCAGTTACTTTAACCTCAAACATGAAAATCCAATACATCCTGACTGTTTTCCAAACTCGGACACAATGGGGTTCATTTACTAAAGCTAGTCACTTGAAGATCTCATGCACTTCTGCTTAAAAATTATCAACTAGCCAGGTTTATATTGGGGCTGAGCTCAATTGAACAGCTGAAGTTTAGTAAGCTGAATGGCTACCTTGTACAGGTACACGAGATTCTGAGTGAACCCCAGCTTTAGTAAATCTCCCACAATGGTGGCCTTTGGTTTCCAATACATTAGATGTACTTTTTTTTAAAGGGCAACTTCACTCTCAGTTTGGCTTAGAATAGGGAAAGGATTTCAATGGATATTTAATCATATTAAATAAAATACACAAATTGGCACCAAATGGGAAAAACCAATCTAATTATGAACACACATTAATCCTAAAATATCACGTTTTGTTTTCTTTAACAAAGAGCTATTAGACCTAACACCGACTATACAGCTGATACTGCTATTTACTAACTAAGAAATAAACACGCTTGTGAGATTACTGTGATTTTTAGTAGTAATGAGAAGAAACAATGCATGGTTGATAACTGTACAGGAAAAAGCAGTTATTTAGCCTTTGCACTTATAGGTACACACCCAGTGCCTAAAAGGTATATATACTAGCCCTGACCTTGAGCCTGCTTTCACGGACTTCCATTTCTGCGCTTTTATAATTTTAGTTTAGCATGCTTGGGTCCCAATGTCATCAAATCTTGATTCAAATATACAGGCGTACCTTGGTTTACGAATGTAATGCGTTCTCCGGGACATTTCGTATTGTGAAAAGTTTGTAAACCAAAAAGCGGTTACCCATAGGAATGCATTGAAAACCAATTAAACCGTTCTGGAGGTCAGAAAGAAGGTACGAAAAAGTCTTTTATCTGTTCAAAACTCTTGATAAAGTGCACTTTAAAGGTTATAAATACTGTACAGGGACATGATTAAAAATGAATTCGTAAATGCATTGAAGGACAGTTAATCCGTTCCGGAGGTCAGAAAAAAGTAAAAAAAAGTCTTATCTGTTCAAAAACTCTTGAATAAAGTGCACTTTAAAGGCATAAATACTGTACAGGGACATGATTTAAAAAAATTGTAAATGCATTGAAAACCAATTAATCCATTGCCAGAGGTCAGAAAAAAGTAAAAAAAAAAAAATCTTATCTGTTCAAAAACCCTTTATAAAGTACACTTTAACCACTAGCCTACAGGGCATTTATACCCAGGGTAAAATTTTGTAAATAAGTGATTTTTCTACTTCACTGATGTGTGCTAATGAGGCTGCAGTGATTGGCACTGATAAGGTGCACTGATGGACACTGATAGGTGGCACTGATGGGCACTGATGAGGAGGTACTGGTAGGTGGCACTGATGGGCATTGACAGGCATCACTGATGGGCACTGAAAGGCAGCACTCATATATGGCACTGATAGGTGGCACTGGTAGGTGGCACTGATAGGTGGCACTGACTGGCACTGATAGGCGGCACTGACTGGCACTGTTAGGTGGCACTGACTGGCACTGTTAGGTGGCACTGATGCACACTGATAGGCGGCACTGACAGGCACTGATAGGCAGCACTGACTGGCACTGATAGGCGGCACTGATTGGCAGCACTGATAGGTTGCACTGATTGGTAGCACTGATAGGTGGCACTGACTGGCATTGATAGGTGGCACTGACTGGCACTGATGGGTGACACTGAAAGGCAGCTCAGATGGGCACTGATATGTGGCATTGATGTGGCACTGATGGGCACTGAAATGTGGCACTGATGTGGCACTGGCAGGTGGCATTGATGAGCACTGAGAGCTGGCACTGATGGACACTGACAGGTGGCACTGCTGGGGCTACAGAGATCATCAGGGCACACTGATCATCAGTGCTTTGATGATCTGTGTACATGTCCCCTCTGAGGAATGACGATTACCGGCTCTCCTCTCCTCTCGAGCTGTCAGCGTGACAGCTCGTGGGGAGAGAAATGCCAATAACCAGCATTTCCCTGTTTACATGTGATCAGCTGTGATTGGACACAGCTAATCACATGACAGAGCCAACATCTTCGGCTCTTTCCGTGGATTGGTGATCCACTGTGTCCGAGGGACACAACATACCGCCGATCGCTCTCCCGGAGCCGCGCATGCGTGGTTAGAATGGGAGGACATCATATGACGTCCTCCCAGAACCAGAGAACCACCTTGTGTCCATCATATTACTATATGGTGGGCGGGAGGCGGTTAAAGGCATAGTACTGTACAGGGACAAGATTTTAAAAAAAAATCGTAAATGCATTGAAAACCAATTATTCCGTTCCGGAGGTCAGAAAAAAGTAAAAAAAAAGTCTTATCTGTTCAAAAATCTTTATAAAGTGCACTTTAAAGGCATAGTACTGTACAGGGACATGATTAAAAAAAATCGTAAATGCATTGAAAACCAATTAATCCATTCCAGTGGTCAGAAAAAAGTAAAAAAAAAAAAAGTCTTATCTGTTCAAAACTCTTTATAAAGTGCACTTTAAAGGCACGAGACCCGCACTATTAATCATCCAGGCGCAATGCATCCTGGGGAAACTTACTTCGTATTGCGAAAAAAAATTGTTAACCGAGGCATTATTTTCAATGGATTTTCAATCGAAAACCAAAAATTACGTTAACCGAGGCATTCGTAAACCGAGGTACGCCTGTATTTACTAGAATCCTTAAGAAACTGATAGTGATGGCACCTATGTTTTTTGAAGGGTTAAATAAACACCAGTATTATTAACCTTTTTTAGTTATATAGCAAATTAAAATAGGTCACCCATCTTAAATCCTATTACCTTAAAACACTTGAATCAATTTAACCTAAAGTATACTGTAAACTAAACATTGCTTATCTTTCCCACAAATTTTTCACATTGCTCTTACTGCATATCACTTCAATTTACACAATTGTTAGTTTAAAAAGGAGGCTGATATTTAATTTACTGCATTTATGGCTTCTTTATTTGAAAGATACTATACATTTCCTGCAGCATATGTTCACTTTTTGTGTGTGCACCCACAAGACCTGTCTTTATCATGCACTGCCACAAACAACGGCTGATAAGCAGATTGATATAAGGAAGCTATCTCCAGCCTGCAATAACATGTTATCATGGGGCCAGCTGTCATGCCATTTTTTCAGCATGTTCAATCACATCCCCTAAATAAGGTTCTGCTATTTGTACTTCATCTCTAAAGAGCTAAAAATTATTTACCTAAAGACAATAGCTAGATCTTGCATTGTTAGTGCTGGAAGATGAGAGATCTATCTATCATTGTCCAAAACTAGTGGATTTTCTGGAACTCTCTAACCTCCGACTGAAAGTTTCAATCCATGAGTTAAGGAGAATGTATGGTGTCTTCAAGGTTGTTTTTTTTAAAAAACATATATGGAAAGAATCAGCCTCATGAGAATGATCCTACAATTTTTATCAATGTAATAAAAGCTTGACCAAGCATTTTCTGGGATGTTTTGTTTACAAGTGCAATTTTTTTTTTTTTGCTAGAAAATTACTTAGAACCCCCAAACATTATATATATATATATATATATATATATATTTTTTTTTTTATTATTATTTTAGCAAAGACCCTAGAGAATGACTTGGCGATTGTTGCAATTTTTTATGTCACACAGTATTTGCGTGGCAGTTTTTCAACACAAAAAAAATTTGGGGGGGGGGGAAATACACTTTAGTGTATTAAAAAAAACAAACACAAGAGTTACCCAATTTTTTTTAAATTTGAAAGAGGATGTTACGGCGAGTACATAGATCCCTAACATGTCAGGCTTTAAATTTTTTTGTGCACGGTTGTCGAATGGCGACAGACTATAGTACTTAAAAATCTCCATAGGCGATGCTTTGAAAATTTTTTACAGGTTACCTATTTAGAGTTACAGAGGAGTTCTAGTGCTAGAATTATTGCTCTCACTCTAACGTTCACAGCAATACCTGACATGTGTGTTGCAAACACTGTTTACATATGTGTGCATGATTTACATATGCATTCGCTTGTGCGCGTGAACACGTTGGGATGGGACACTTAAAAAAAAGATTTTCTTATATTTTTATTTTTAAACTCTCCCTTTTATTTTTCTTTGATCACTCATTCCTATTTCAAGGAATGTAAACATCCAGTGTCATAGAAATATGCGTGACAGGTTCTCTGTAAGAAGAGATTTGGGGTCAAAAAGACCCCAGACCTGTTCTGTGCTTTAAAAGCAAAAGATTTAAAAAAAAAGAAAAAAATGTGTTTACTTCCCCCCATGACCGGATTTAACGTCATGGCGTCTCTCCGGCCCTCCATCACGACAGAGGCGATAAAATCTTTCATTGCCGCCATCTTGAGGAGGCTGCACCATTGGATCATTTCTCAGGCATTAACGGTAAGCCTGGGAAACACCGGAGAGTGGCGAGAGGGGGGGGGGGGGTCCCCTTCTGCAAGTACTAAAAGCCATCCAGTGGCTCATGAGCCACTAGGGCCACTTTCATGTTAAAGCTGGCCATCCACTGAACAAAACCAGTGTTAGGGCTGATTTCTTCAGCCATAACCCCGGTAAACTACTTTGAAAGCACAATGTTTATATACGTAATGCGGTTGTCACGTGGTTAAACTGATTCATGTATAATTTCTAATGATGTATATACACAAGGTAGCCATATATTCTCATTAGACATGCAAATCTCCTGCATGTTAGTATCACATACTGCTCCTTCACACAATTCAATTCTATGGGGTTGATTTACTAGAAGAGTAGAGAAGTCAGAGAGTAGAGAGGTCATTTCTGCAAAGTGAATGTTCTCTTAGTATACTGAAAAAGTTCAAGCTGTATTCACTTCATTCACCCTGTCATGTGCAAAGTAAACAAACCTTTGCCCTATTTACTAAGCCATATGAACATTCACTTTGCTTACTGAATAGTCTCTACCTAAAGGCAGCCAGAGATTTCCGATTTTCTTGCCGAATTATCGGAGCCGATAAAAAAATAGGCCGATATTCGTACCGTTAGTGGAGAAAAATGTTGGCCGTTTTTCTTAATTTTAAGAGATTTTGAAAATCATCCAAGCTGAAAAATCCTGGGATGATTTGTTAGGTCGGCCGATTTTCGCAGTAATTTATGGTCAAATCGGCCGTTCTTCTGGCTGATTTGACAATAAATTGACTATGAAGAAATAGAAGAAATAGATTTTGCAGGAGAAGAAGAAATAGAATATCAAGAAGAAGAATAGAAGAAAAGAGGAGAAGATGAAATAGATTTTGCAGAAGAAGACGGAGAAGAAAAAAAAGTTGCAACATTGTATCTATTTGTATGCATTTCGGATACAGATGTTTCTATTCAAGTACAAATAGATACAATGTTGTTGTCTCTTCTTCTTCTTCTGTATAATCTATTTCTTCTGTCAAATATATTAACGGGTCTCTATGCAGGGACACCGCTATTATATTAATTGACGGCTGTAGACGGGACTAAAACCCGCCGACTTTTTTTTTTAATTAGTGGCAAAGTCGGCCGTCTGAACGACCGATTTACGACTTTTGAAAAAAAAAAAACGTCCGAGTTTCCCCACGTCTATGGCCTGCTTAATAGGGGTTCATTAATTGAGGCATTAGAGGCTGTTAATCAATAGGTCATTTGATCCGTGTTAAGCAGTTATACAAACACTTTTTATTGGTTAGTCTACCTTTGCTTTACAGATGATTTTGACCTTCTTCTGAGCTACTCCTGATTTCCTTCTGAGTTGATTCAAACTTTCCCATTGTGTGGGAAGAAAAGCAGTTTTGACTCAAAAAAATGCCAGTGTACACAGACCAAAGTCACACCAGAAAATACAATGCAAAAATTACTCACAATATGTGCTCACTGAATATACACTTTACTTTCCCTTTAGGGCTGTCTTCACACCTTTGCTTGCGGAAATGTGGTAATAAGAACAGTAACACATAGAGGATAATTTAGTAAAGGAATAGAGATTGGCCACTTAGCAAAGCAAATGGTCACATTGAAAAAGGTATAATTTGCAATTGATATATATTTGCTAAGCTTAGTAAAGTTGCGTTTACTTTGATTACCCAATCATGTGTGAGGAAAATGTTTTAAAAAGTGATTTTTTTTTTCTAAAACACAATAGGTTGATTGACGCAGGGGCGTAACTATAGGGGTTGCTGGAGTCGCTATTGTGACCCAAGCTCCATGCTCCAGGGGGCATGTGCGACCTCCTTTACAGCTGGATAGAGAGGTGGGGGCAGCATATAAAGCAACCAATGCCCTCCACTTTCCTCCTTCAGCCACTGAATGCCTGGGACAGTGACAGCATAGCAGGGTTATGTTAATATTAACCCTGCCCCCCTCCCCTGGACCCGCCCTGCCCTCCTGTCCCTGAGCCATATAAGGCCAGTGGGAGGGGGGGAAAGAGGAGGTGTCATGAGGGAGGGGATTAGAGACTTGTAACCCTGCCCCCTATCACTGAGCCAGCTCTGCCCTCCTGTCCCCGAGCCTTACACCTGTCAGTGGGAGGGGATCTGTCATGGGGGAGGGGATTAGAGATTGGTAACCTTGCCCCTTGTCACTCAGCCCACCCTACCCTCCTGTTCCTGAGCCACACACCAGTCAATGGAGGAGAAAGAGGACTTGCCATGGAGAGGGGATTAGAAATTGGTAACCCCACCCCTGTCGCTGAGCCCACCCTCCCCCCTATTTCTTAGCCATACATCAGTCAGTGGGAGGGGGAAAGAGGACCTGTCATGGGGGAAGGGGATC